CAAGTATAGCAGGGATTGTGGGGCTGGCGCGGGATCGGGCAGTGTTTCGTTCTGCTGTGCATGGGGTCGCTATGAGTCGGAAATGACTCGACGGCACTTAACAACAACAACAGCCAGAAGAATGAGCAGATGTGTCTTGGAAGCACAGGTGGAACACTCCTCAGAAGTGAGGATGCTGAATCACAGAACTTTCTTGCAGGACCCATGTCTCCCTGACTTATGTTTCTATACATAGTCCTTCAGCAGAGGTACCTGATCCAGTGACATTTAGCTACCACCTGCTCCTTGTTGTTCCTTTATTACCTTATGACACCGTTAGTCATCCATCACCCAAATCAAAAGCCTGCATTTGCCCTCCTTCCTGCTTCTCGCATCCCTCACATTTAGTCATCTTCTTGTGCCACCGTTTATCTCCTCCTATTTAACTCTCAAACCAGCTTTCTTAAGCCTTCGGCCTACTGCAGTGGCTTCCTATCTGTTTCCAGTGCCCCCTCCAGGTGGACACCAGCATGATCTTCGGTATTCCTCTCTAAAACCCTGGTGTGCAGTCTGGCAAGGATTTTGGGGGCAGGGAAAGCAGAATGAGGAAGCAGCCGGCCCGGTGCACTGGTCACATCCTTATGGAGAAAGGGTGCTCACATGCGTGCATCCACTGCCAAGCACCGCCACACGTCTATGGTGTAGAACAGTTAGCCACCTTTTAAGGGTGGGCAAACAAGTGAATTTGCCCAGGTCGGCCAGTTACTAAACAGCAACACTAGGATGTTGAACACAAGCTCTTTTTCCTCAGACTAAGAGAGAGCTAATCGCAGTCCTCCTCGGAACACTTTATGACTATCCAGCTGGTGGGTTTGAACTGCTGACTTTCTGGTTAGTAGCCAAGTATCTTATCCATTACACCACCAAAACTCCTTATCCAGTATTTGGGGTGCATATAATTGGAAGCTCTTCTTAAAATCTTATTTTTGGGTGAGGAGGTCCTGTGCCCCAACTTTCTGAAGTTGAATTTGTTACTTTTTGCTTGTCTGTGATGAAAGTTGTTTCAGGGAGAGAACTGAAGCTTGAGTGCTTATCTTCTTTGGGATCCTGCAAACACCTGAAATTTCAAGGGTCCTGGAGGAGGTCCTGGGGCCTGGACACTCAAGGGGAGATGCCCCAGGAGAAGCCAAGCCCTCCAAGAAAGGTTGTGCCACAAAGGAATGGCAAACCCAGAAAGACTCAAAACAGAGACCAGACACTCATGACTGCTCATGGATGTGTATTTTAATAAAAATAATTCTGTCAAAATACAACAGGAGTTTTTCCATCTCTCAAGTACAATTTTAATAGGATGTTTTGTGTTAGAATTCTCTCTAAACCCTCCCGCACCCACAAGTTTCATGCTAATGCCAATTAACAACCTGTGAGGACTAAGGCAGAGCCAGTGTGCACAACGTGGAGGACGTCTGTTAGCTGTGGTTACTAATGGCAGGAAACCCTATGCAAGAGGTGGGAGCCTGAGGCAGCCAAAGGCCACAGTCTGGTGCCAGGCCTGGGTGCACAGGGCTGGCGGTCAAGTAGGGCTCTGCTGCCCGGCTGCCACACGGTGTGCATACCTGAGTTGTGAGCAACCAAAGGAACTTGCAGTTCCAACAACCCTCTGCCTCATCTTCTTTGTGCTTGCTTAAGGGGCGGGAAGGTGCTGGGTGGCCAGGTAGACTCATTTTCTCTGTCTCTTGGTGTCCTTGTTTGACAGCCTGCACCCAGCCACAGACCCATGTGGGTGGAGATCAGAGGTTCTAGCTTTGAGTGAGCTACCAGTTTCCACTCTGGAAGGAGTGACCATGTGCAGCTGCAAAGGGAAAAGTAAGTAGGGAAGGCTGCTCCCCAGGGTTGGACAGCCCTACAGAGCCAGGTCCAGCCCTTCACCCGGGCTCCTCAGGCACCTTCTCCACTTGGTTTTCAAAAGCAGGCGGGTAGGACTGGGTGTGCATAGGGGCTCCTCCAGCTGGCAGGCAGGCCTGCACTATCAGCAAGATGGTGGGCTCAAGCAGCATGGATTTGGCCCTCTCCACGGCTTGTGGGGCAAAGGCTTATATTCCAAAAGTGAGCTGTCCAGCTGGGTCAGAAAGCCCCTTTGAAGAGGAACAGAGTAAACAACTTGGACTCAGCAGAAACAGTGAGATAAGGCACAGAAAATGGGGAGGCAGCCATGGGTACTGAGTGTGAGCCAGGCAGACACCGAACCCCATGCAGCACACAGCTGTCCTGAGCCCTCCTGGGCCATTCTCAGCCGCTCCACAAGCCAAGCCCAGGCACCCATCCCCACCCCGATACACCCCGGCTTAGTCGCTGCTGGAGGCCACGCCAACCTAACTCCTCACAGGGGCTTATCCATCATTCAGCTTTAGGACTAAACAGTGTTGCTCAACTGGCAGGGATGGGGCTAGTCTCAGCTCTGCCACTAATATGCTGTGTGACTTTGGCCAAATCAATCTCCTGGGCCTGTTTCCTTATCTGTAAAAGAAGAGGACTGGTAGAGGAGGCGTTCTTTGAACTCCATTCTGCTTCCAAAGACTTTGGTTTTAGTTCCCAATCCTGCCAGGCTATGATCATTTGAACACTTTGATGTTTCCATTCTTTGGGTTTGGGAGCTAGGCATTCTCAGCCTTGCAGAAGATGGACATCCTTTACAGACATGCTAACACCTTTCCGATGGGCCATAGTCTGTGGGCTGCCAGCCAGGACACTGGCAGGGACCAAGAAAAGCAGCAGCCCATAGTCACTCCCGAGGCAGAACTGGGGGAGAGCACAGGGCCAGACCCTGCCCCATCTCCAGCAGTTGGTCCAAGTCAATCATGGTTTTTGTTGTCCAGCTGCAGGTCTGGGGAAGGCTGGTGGGTGCTGAGTATCTCAGGCTGTACCAATCATTTCCGTGTCCACTAACACGTAGCAAGAGCTTGCACAGCCCAGGTCCAGGCAGAGCCTGCAAGTTCAACTTCTGGCCTTGCCATGGCTGACCCTGCGCTTCGCAGGAGGCTGCTTGTGCTCTCCCTGAGCCCTGGGAGGCAGGCAGGGAAGCCCCAGCCCCTCACGGTGCTCTTCGAGGAAGAGCCTCAGGCTCCTGCCTCTTTGCCTCTTACCCTCCTGGCAACCATCTGAGCCCTTCCTCTCACAATTCCTGTGAGGATCCTTTCATATGTGAGGATCCATCTGAAATCTCCAGTGGGATGTCTGTCAAGTTCATGGCGTCTTCCTCTGGCCAGAAGATACGCATGACAATCCTTCCTGAACAGTGGCTGGGGCCGCACTGCAGGGAGCTACCTGGCAGGGAGGCCAGGCCCAGGGGTCATGGGCTCTGCTGCTCCAGGGATCAGCCACCCCAAGAATCTGCTTCCACAAAGGGCTGACTGGCTCTCAACAGAAAGCACAGATTCCATCAGCACTGTGCAGAGATGGAGGAGATACAGGCAGGAAGAATCGGCCCCCATGCCTGTGGGCCTCTGTTTTCTCCACAGCCTGACACAGCACTCTCAGATTGAAGGCAGGTAGTTTCCAGGCAATCAACTTCGAGTAAATGAATTATTTGGCCATATTAAAAAGGGAAAGCTGAGTGTGAAAAAGGGGAGAGAGAAAGGGAGCGAGACAGGCAGTGGGAGGCAGGGTAGGTGGGACACAGCATGCCGGCCAAGGACCCTCTACTCCCTTTGCTTTGCTCTGTGGCCCTGAGCCAACCTGTCACCTCTCTGGTCCCTCAGCCTTAAAATTCTCTGCTCAGTTCAGCTCTCAGGGGCCTAGGGCCCCACACCTCTACAGATGATGCAAATCAACTTACCCTGAACCCTCCCACGAGTTCCCCTTCCCAAAGTCCTATTCACTTCCCTAGGCTGCAGCTGGACCTGTGAATCAATGAAAAAAAAAAAAAAAAAGGGAGAGGGGACAATACTAAAAGAAACAAATCACTTGGCTGAGGTGACAGAAATGATTCTTTTTTAATGATTGGGACTCGAATAAAAACATATAGTGTCTGGACAGCCTCACCCAAGAGGTGCTGGATCCACTAACACTACGATAAATACTGTTTGTTTGTTTTTTTTAATATATATATATATATGTGTATATATATATATATATATAATCTCATTTTTTAATTATGAAAATAATAAGCTCTCGCCAACTTGGATAGGCTTCATCACTAAATTAGCAGAAACCAGCTCAGCACAAACTCTCCAGAGATAAATACTGGTGGCTCAGTCAGAAGGGAAAAAAAGATTAAAAACCCCAACCTCCCTTCAAAACAATACCCCCCTTCCAAGTAGAAGGCGCTACATGAGCATAACCAGCCAATACTGTGTCACAGGCCGTTGCACGTGAAGGGGAGAGAGAGAGATTGAAGGAGTGGGAAAAGGAAGGAAGGAAGGCAGGAAGGGAAAGGAGAGGAGGGGAAGGCTGGGCAGGAGGTGGCAGGAGTGGACTCTGCCCATGGCTTCTAGGTCCCTGTGCCAGATGCCTAAGGAGGGCAGGGCAGCTCCAGCCCCGGGAGCTGAGGGAGGGTCAGATGGAGCCAGCCAGCATGGTCAGCTAGTGCAAGTAGTCGTCAACTCTGGCAAAGGAGCAAGATCCCAGGCCCACTCGGGCCATGAGCCGCAGACATTCAGAGGCCTGGCCCAGGGCGAGCATCAGAGGAGGCTGCTTTGGCAGGTTTTGAGATTCTGCAGAGGAAAGACAAAGCCCGTCACTGTCCTGCCCAGGGCTTGAGCTCACGTCAAAGTTCCCTTGGGGATGGAAGGTAGGGCAATAGTGTTCATGTCTCTCTGTGTATGTCCCAGCCACCAGGTCATAGCCCTGTGGCCATGCAGGAACCTGAGGGCCCTAGCCTGCCTCAGAGCAGTGGGCTAGCCTGGGCCTGTGGTCATGACCGGAGGATCATTACAATCCAGCCAACCAACTCAGGCAGAGGGAGGTCATGGGTTGGGTTCAGCTACAGAAGCCCAGGAGTCCTGGGGTCCACCAGGAAGTCTCTGGGCAGAGCCTGATGCCCTGATTTGGATGAACATCAGCTATTCCTGGGGGGAAAGAAGGGGATGCCCAGGTACACAAAGGGCCAGCTTGTTTTTGTCAGATTCACTCACCTAAAATGGCGCTGTTGAGCGCAGCACACACTGGCTCCCTCTGGATGGGATCAAGCTGCTGGCCAACAGGGCAGCTCCAGGGGTCCGAGTACGCCAGCAGACTGAAGGCATCCTAAGGGGCAGGGCACTCTGAAGAGGACTGTGGCACATATACCACACATGCCCACATGTCTCCAGGGAGGGCCAGGGCCCTCACATATCTGGACCATAGAGTCTGAGAGGCTTGGGGGTCTATCCCAGCTACCCCACTTCCTACTGCAGGCCTGATGAGGGCCAACTGTCCCATTGCCACTGCCCCCAGGGCCCTCCAGAACCACCCTGTCCTCGCCCCCAGGTGGGGGCCTACTCTGTGTGGGCCTGGCTTGTCCTATACCTGTAGCATCTCTGTGTGGGCCAAATTCTTGCCGTACTCCCGGCCCAACTGCTCACTCAGTGCCTGCAACTCACGGCCAAACAGGATAATCCTTTCTGTGGCAGCCTGGTTGCCTCCGCAGAGCTGCCGCCGAGGATGCCCATCGTCTGCGCCCAGAGCCCAGCACAGAACACATCAGGAGGGATGAGGAGAGAGGGGAAGGACTGGGGAGGGGGCCCAAGGAGAACACTGGCAGGAAGGGCTCTGGGTGGGCTACAGCTTCTGCCAGAGGCAGGTGAGGGCTGGGAGGAACAGGTAGACCGTCCACAGCTGAGCACATAATCTAGGAATCAAAATGGACTCAGGAGTTTTCCTCTTCCCACCCAGCACAGATGCACTTACACACCCTGTCCAGTTTCAAATGCAGGGGGCTTGGTCTTGGGGAAAGGCCTGGACCTTTCTATACCACTAGAACCACCTCAAGGATCCAGACACAACTAGCTAAGGAGGTGGTGGATCAGATCTGCCTAGAGCTTGTCAAGCCGCCAAAGTTAGCCCACCCCAGCCCCCAGGAGGGTCACCTGGACTAAGCATTGCCCTCCCACATTGGGTATGCCAGGGCATAGTCCTTACCCATGCTGGACTCATCTGTCTGCAGGTCCTCATGCTTGTAGGTGCCATTGACAATGCGTGTGGACATGCTCTCCAGCACACCATTGGGGTAATGCTCTGCCTCCATCTCCATCTCACTGTCGCTGTGGAAAAGGGTTGAGGTGGGAGTTGGCCAAGGGGGTATGGTTGGAGTAGCCTGGCTGAGCCAGCATTCAGGCTTTAGATACAGGTTGCTGTAGGTAAACCGATGGCCCCCAGGAGCATGAAAGCACAGCCCAGGCTTCCCAGGTACCAATATCTGGCAATTATTTCCTGAGCCCCTACAGGATTTCCACAGACTTGTCACCTGATTCCCACTCTTGTCCCACAGTGCTGCCTGTGACCATTCCTTCCCTGGCTCCCCTGTGGGTTGGCACACTCCTTCTACCACAATGCCCATTCCCCCACTCTACCACTCAACGACTGGGCTCTGTTCGGGGGACGCCAAACCCAAGTCAGCCCTGCGGCATTCCTGGGGCCGCTGAAAGCCACCTGGTGCTGCAGTCTGCAGCCTAGATGCAGCCTGCCCAACCTAGCTGTCCACAGCCAGGTCTAATGAAAGTTCCTTCCAAGTAGACTCTGGGATTCAAACAGGCCCAACCATCTTGAAGGACCCCACCTTCTCAGCACAGCAATGTTAGCACCTCTGGGAATGCCAGGGCTGAGGGAAGTGACAGCCAAATCAGGGGTCAGGACAGAAGCTGGAGCTAATGCCTGACAGCTCAATAGCTAGTACTTAGGTGCCGACCTGGGAAGGAAGTAAGGGGTAAAGGGCAAGGGGTGGCACTCAAAGACAGACTGCAGTAGCCAGGTTGGCCCAGAGCAGAAGGCAGGAAGGAATTAGAGCAAGACAGGCACCTGGTCTCCTGGTTACTGGTGCTGCTCTGGGGCTGGGACTTGGTGGAGTCTGTTGAGTTGGATTCAGAGTAATTGACAGAGGACGGGGAGGAGGAAGATGAGGAGGACGAGGACGAAGATGAGGAGCTGGGTGCAGGGTATTTACTGTGGTTCTGTTTGCTCTTGGTAGATGTGACACCATTGCTGCAGCTGGGACTGTCTGCTCCTGGAAGCCAGGGAACAATGAGAAGAGGAGGGGCAGCTTGTCATCAAGTGGGAACCTAGCAATGATCAGTGGCCCCATCTCCCTTCCCCAAAGCCAGCAGCGATCCCAGCTGAGGGAAAGGCATGTGGGGTGGCCTTTCTTCTCCACACCAGTTCTTCCCAGAGCCCTAGAGAAAGTGGCTGACCTGTGTTGTGCATGCGGGAACTACCAGGGCCATGGCGGGGACTGAGGCTGGGGGAGTCAGGGAAGCTGTCCTGGGACTTGGGGCTTCGAGAGCTCAAGCTGCGGACCTCACTGTCAGTCCCGTTCACCATCTCTACAAACTGTCGGCACCTGCAGAGGGAGCAGAGTAGCAACGTTCTGAGCCTGGCCCAGGCTGTTATGTTCCCACCAGTAGCAAGAGTGGGTGGTGCTATGTGGCAGCTGGTGGTGCCCAAAACTTACTTGAGCATGAAGAGAAGGTTGGGGTTGTGCTCCAGCAGCCCTGGGTAGAAGCGTTGTGTGGTCTCAATGGCCTCACCCACACGGCCCTCCAATACCAGCTTCTGGATCTCTGAAAAGAGCAAGAACACGACAGTAAGCAAGGGGCTGCAGACCTCCTCAGAGCCAATGCCCGGCACACCACCAACTTGGAGCATGGACCGACCACACAGACCAACCACATGGGCTGGCTCAGAGTGACCGGCCAGTTGAGGTGCCCACAGGAGAAGAGGCTGAAGGAAGAACCTGGCTGCCCAAGCACACAACAGTCCTTGGTTTCCACCAGGTTTCAGGGAGCCCCCAAGAAGAGGGGAATGGAGGGGGCAATTACAGCCCAGAGGCAGGAGGGCAGGTTTGAAGGCTGCTCCTGTGGGGTGCAGGGTGCCAGGAGCCTAGGGGGAGGGAGCCTGGCCCTGGGAGAGTGATCTGGGGATGGGCACCCAGGTGACATGGTGGCCCTGGGGGCTCCTCTTCAGGCAGACTTCTCTTTCCCGACCTCTCAGTCACGTGGCAATGGAAGCACAGCAGTTTCTGGGCCAGGGCCCATGTCTGCGCCGGTCTTTGGGGGCTGCAGTATTCTCCCTGCTGGGAGAGGAGGTCATCCTCCTCACGCTGGCACCTCTGACGCTGGCACCTCTTGGGCTAGCAGCATCTTGCTGGTGCCTTCTCGCTCTTGCCCTGGGGCCTGGCGTGTCTTGCTGGGAGCGACTTCTGGGTGTGAGGCTCTCTCATTCGTAGATCCCAAGTCTGGGATCCCTTTCCGTCTGTCTGGCTGAGTGCAGCTTCTCTGGGAGACACAGACACATGCACATACACAGAGACGACAGGCTCAGAGAGACGCAGCAGGCACACACGCAGAGACACGTCCACACACACGCCCACTCACCCTCACTCTCCTCTCCTCCTCCTATCTCCTGCCCAGGCTCTTTTTTCCTCTTTCCCAACACCCCTCCTGCCACAAAAGAGCTCCTAAACAGAGTACAAACACCAGGAACGCTCCCTTTGGTCAAGATGCCAAGGATGGACTCTAGGTCATCTGCAAAGGGCAGGACCATAGGTGGGAGCAGCCACAGAGCCTCTACTCTCACTGCTCACACCAGTCCTCTCTGGCCAGTAACAAGCAGAACTACTCAAGTAGAGTGAATGGTGGGAAAGGTGGCTCTTGGTCTGATAAGATGCAAACACACTCTTTCCAGAAGACCATGAATAAGAAGCAAAGTGGAATCCAGGAGTCAGGGGGAAGGACACAGCGTGGAGGTGCAGGATCCAGCCAAACCGGGGCCCAGCCTGCGCCCAGCCATCAGAGTATGCATGAGGGAGGCGGCACTGAGACAACTCCATGCTACTGGACTGTCCATCTGGGCAGTGTTGCTCTGAAGGAGGACCAGATGCAGGCCCGGGTAGGGCTAGTCTCCAGGGTGGTGGGGACCAGAACTAAATGGACTCCTGACAGCTTAACCAGGGCCAGCACGAGCCAGAGAGCAGAGTTAGGGACAGATGAGGGAGGAAAATGGGAGAGGAGACTCAATCTTACTTTGTCTGTTCCTTATGGACGCCTGTTCTTCCTGAATCGGGGTTTCAGTCATTCGGGCAAAAGCCGTGGCCGTGGCACAATACCCATGATGCACCAGGTAAGATGAGACCATGCTAGAAGAAAGGAAGAGCTTATGGTGACACTCAGAAACTGCATTTCTCAATAATCACCTGATGGGATGGACTATGTCCCTGTTTACATCTGTACTGTCTTCCCTGAACACATCCAGTGACCGAGAACAAAGGGGCTGAGATAACACAATGGTTCCTCCTGGTGCTCACGCAGTCAAGCTAGGGGGGTGCTGGTCACCACTTTTGTGCTCCCAGCTTGGAGGAGTAGCTGCCCACACGTGGGCGAGTATGAGCGGCCAAAGCATGTACAGAGGCACACATCATGGCCTCATGATGCACTGCATCCTCATGGACCACAGCCATCTCTGAGAAGGCCAGTGATCTCACCGAGGGCATCCTACAACAGCAGCTGGCAGCTGCACAAACAGTGATGCACACCACACGTGGACTATCTTCAGACACAGGTGTCCTCAGCAGGCTGCCCAGGCACCCAACAGAAGTGTTCCAGCTCACCAGGCAAACCTACCCTCAGAAGTGCTGGCTCTGGAGGGTGATGGGGAGCCAACCATGACTCAAGTTCCTTTACCACACAGCAAAAAGCCGGGGTCCATGAAGTCACGATATCAGGCTGATTTTGCCAGGAAGGGATAAGCATAGGAGCACAATCTTTCGGAAATGGCTGGGCAGGCCCGGTGGCCATCTAACACCAGCCAGAGTAAGCTGAGCAGGGACATATACGTGTACACGTACGTACACATGTAGAGCAGAAAGATCCACCTTCACATCTGATGTGTACAGGAATGATGGTTTAGAATGTGTTTATGTGTGTGTTTGTCTGATGTCATCATAATTATCAATTATACATTATTTGTGTATATGTATTAAGTGCCTGGAACAAAGTAAGAAGTAATAAAAATGACCTCTCATTATGAAATCAGATATTACATAATACTATATTTGGAATATTATTATTACTGAAATAATAATATAATGAATTATGGATAACATAATGAAGAATAGGAATTCCAGAACATTTAACAGTGTCCATGCATGAGTTGTACACAGACTGAGAGGCAGTCGTTCAAACAAAACAAGAGGGTACTACATGGTTTTAAATTAGGAAAGGTGTGTGTCACAGTTGTATCCTTGCACCATACTTACTCAATCTATATACTGAGTAAATAATCCAATGAGCTGGACTTTATGAAGAAGAATGTGGCATCAGAATTGGAGGAAGACTCGTTAACGACATGCTGCTATATGCAGTCGGAAGAAGGATTGGGCAATCTACTTTCGTAGTGATACCACCTCGGAAACCCAAGAGGGGGTCACTATGAGTTGAATCCAACCTGACAGCAGTGAGTTTGATTTTTTTGGGGGGGGGGGGGGCGATATGCAGATGACACAACCTTGCTTGCTGAAAGCAAAGGGGACTTGAAGCACTTACTGATGATCAAAGACCATAGCTTTCTATATGGATTACATCTCAACATAAAAGAAACAAAAATCCTCCAATCGAAGCAACAAGCAACATCATGATAAATGGGGAAAAGATTAAAGTTGTCAAGGATCTCATTTTACTTCACTCAACAATCAATACCCATGGAAACAGCAGTCAAGAAATCAAATGACATACTGCATTAGGCAAATCTGCTAAAAAAAAAAAAAAAAAAGCCTCTCTAAAGTGCTAAGCAGCAAAGATGTCACTTTGAGACTAAGGTATGGTCTGGCACTTTCCATCATTTTATACGCATGTGAAAGATGGGTAATGAATAAGGAAGACGGAAGAAGGCCTGATGCATTTATTTGAATTATGGGGTTGGTAAAGAATATTGAATACACTACAGACTGCCAGGAGAATGAACAAATCTGCCTTAGAAGAAGTACAGCCAGAAGGCTCCTTAAAGTGATGGTGAGATTTCATCTTATGTGCTTTGGACAAGTTATCAGGAGGGACCAGTCCATGGAGAAGGACATCATGCTTGACAAAGTTGAGAGTCAATGAAAAAGAGGAAAAACTCAAAAAGATGGACTGACACAGTGACTGCAATAATGGGCTCAAACACAGCAACAATTGTTAGCATGGTGCAGGACCAGGTAGAGGTCTGCTGTACACAGGGTCACTATGAGTTGGAACCAACTCAATGGCATCTAACAACAAAATGTTATTATTACACACACAGGTTAAACATTTTTGGCAAAATGTGATTCAGCAGAGTCCTCATCAGTATCAAATACCACTAAAATACACGGTCCCTTTGACTCAATAATCACACTTCTTCAAAGCACACCAAGAAATAGGAAAATCTTAAATATGAAACTTTCATGTACAAAAGCAAGGAGCTCTGGTGGCACAGTGGTTAAAGCATTTGGCTGTTAACCAAAAGGTTGGCAGTTCAAACTCACCAGCTGCTCCATGGAAGAAGGATGAGGCAGTCTGTTTCTGTAAAGATTTACAGCCTTGGAAACCCTATGGGGCACTTCAACAATGTCCTACAGGGTTGCTATAAATTGGAATCAACACACTAGTAGTGAGGTGGTTTTTTTTTTTTTTTTAATATACACAAGAGTTACCTACACAAATGAAAGAGTAGGAATAATCTGAACTTTTCACGAAAGGATGCCAGAAGGGAGTTGTGGCAAATATGAGTATGGACACATGGAGGCATAGAGACACGTGGACAAATACACTATGGGCTGAGCCCTGGGCCCTATGGGCCAAGCATGTAACTCATCCTTTCCTGCCTCAGCAAGCTCTCTGGCAAGGTCCTGGCCCCTTCAGGCAGGAGCTTCTCAGCAGCTCTGGGAACAGAGGCAGCTGTGCTGCCCTTCCTGAGAAGGGTCTGGCTGCCTAGCCCCTGCTTCAGCCCTTCCCTGAGGCCAGCCTCAATCACACCCCTCCAGAAACATAGGCTGCACAAAAGACTCAGTGTGCACTCCAACCCCACCCCAGGGGACTCTGGCACCCAGGTGCCTTTGCAGGGCAATGTCCAGGGATAGCTGGAGCCCAGCCCTTCCCCTGTACCTATCTGCCTACCCTTGGGAGCCAAGTTCCCACCCACCTCCTGGCAGAGTGGGTACTGGTCACAGCCTCACTCAGACCTACAGACAGCAAGTCCAAGAGAGACCCAAACTTGGCCTCCTTGGGGAGTCTCAGCAACCCTGGGTTCCAGAACAGTCTGCGAATTAATCAGCTAAAGACCAGGGAGGTATCTCCTTGCCAGCACTGCCATAGACACATGGGACTGTGCTGGATGCTCACCTCTGAGAGGGAACCCCAGGCCAGAGTCATGGCATGATGGATCCCTCCACTGTTGGAAAAAAGTCCACAAAGAAAGAGACCACAGGGTACCTATTATGAGTTGAACTGTCTGTGTCAAAAAGGTAGGCTCAAGTCCTAACCACTGGTACCTGTGAATGTGTACTTATTTGGAAACAGTGTTACTGCAGATGTAATTAGTCAACATGAGGTCATAATGGAGTAGGTTGAGCCCTAATCCAATATGACTGATGTCCTCATAAGAGAAGAGACACAGAGACACACACACAGAGAGAATGCCATGTGACAACAGAGGTAGAGATTGGAGTTATGTCGCCACAAGTCAAAGAATGACAAGGACTGCTGGCTGACACCAGAAGCTAAGAGAGAGGCATGGAATAGACTGTCCCTCAGAGCCCTCCAAGGAATCAACACTGCCAATACCCTGATTTCAGACATCTAGCCTCCAGCCACTCCTCGGAAGGAAGGTTGGGCAATCCTACTTCCGTAGTGATACTGCCTCGGAAACCCAAGGAGGGGTCGCTATGAGTCGGGACCGACTCGACGGCACATAACAACAACAACAACAGCCTCCAGAACTGGAAGACAGTACACTTCTGTTGTTTCACACCACAAAGTGTGTGGCACTTGTTACAGCAGCCCTAGGAAACTAAGGCAGCATCCGAGTACACCCTCTGCAAAATGCCCTGGACAAAGTAAACAGCCCTGCTGGTGAGGTTACATCTGGAGCCTTCCAATCTGGTTGAGAGACAAAGGTTTTAGGAGCAGCTCTGAAGAACCACGTTGGAACTGTCCAGAGGGAAGCAGCAGAGTAGCAGGCCGAGTCACCCTGGGGGTGCTTCTTGGGAGAAAAGCTATCGGTGGAGTGATCACCGCAGCCTGCAGCACAGCAGAGCCTACAGGAGCGCCTCCTGGATGGGCCGGGGAATAAGGATGGGAACAGGGCACTCACTTCTGCAGCACCGCCTGCCACTCGCCAAGCCGGGCACTGATGGGGAAGCAGTGGACAGTGCCCTGGACCTTGGCGCGCCACTCCCGCATGTAGTCCTCAATGTCAAACAAGAAGGGCTGCTGCCCAAAGTTGGCATCCACAATCTCCCCTGGTGTCTGCAGGCCTACGGTGGGGTACAGGTTGGCCTGAAGAGGAGAATGAAATGTCAGTCAGGACCCACGGGCAAAGGGGCAATAGGACTTTGCCTCATGTCCAGCCTTGGACTCTGTGAAGTGCAGCAAGGCTGAAGGAGGCAGGGCAGGCCACGCTCTGCCTTCTGCCCCCAACCAGAGACACCACATCCCTAAGCTTGAGAGGACAAAACAACAGAAAGGCAAGCAAGGCTTAACATGAGGAGTCCCCTGCCCTGCACCAGAGGCCATTATGTTCTCAAGGCCTGAGGCCCTTCCTCCAGAGCTCAGCCGGCACACAGAGGCAGGCCAGGTGCCACCACCCTGCAGGTATGCCTGTGAAGATCTGCTGCGGGTGTGGACTGGGGCTCCTCTCAGAAAGAACCAGCTCCCTGTGCAGAAAAGGGGCATGTGAAGGGACAGGAAGCAACAAGGTAGACAGGGAAAGAAGGGAAGAGGAGAGCATGGCAAGGGGCCAAAGGCGATTTGGACCCCTAACACTGCCCCTCCTGTCAGAGGCTCACTGAGAGAAGGATCTTATGGCCAGTGAGGTGAGTGGCATCCCTCTCTGTGGGCGTGGAACCCCCTGCTCCCTTCTAGCCTCTGCCATGACCAAGTATTCTACCGCTAGCTTTTGCCAGGTCACTTTCTCATGCAACGCCTCCTGCGGCTGGCCATGCCTCACTCATCTCCCCACTGCCACAATGTATTGTCTCCCAGGGCTCCCATCCTGGGTCATCCCTGAGTACTCAGGTGCCTTTCCTATACACTGGGTGTTCAGTCCACCATAAGCTCTGACCCCACAAGACCCTTCACTTCCTTCCTTTCCCTCCAACCCCTAACCTACTTCCCTGCCTCTGGCAAAGCCCACCTCCTCCGGCCAGCCTTCCCTGTCACTGCCTACAGTGACATTCTCTACGTGAGACATCTATAGAACCGGGGCATCCACACACTTCATAGCACATGACTACACACTGCCCACACCCGTGTCTAGCTGTCCATGCCTTATCTCCACAACGGGAGCCAGAGTGGGAATTCTATTGGGTCTGTTCTCTTGCCTAGAACCACAGCCCTTCAGTGGGGCTGGTCTCCAGTAGGAGGAGACTTGACCCACAGAACAGAGGGTTAACCTTGGATGCTGCACTCTGGGCTTCAGAAGGGCCCTCAGATCACCAAGGCATTCTGTGGGGGTACTCAGGATCCCAAAGCACCCCCCAGAGGCAGCAAACCTTCCCTGCTTCCAGAACCCAGCCAGGTACACAGAGCCAGGCTAGGCTCCCAACATACGGGGCAGGGGCCCTCCATGTGATGAAGCCTGCAGTGATTCATAACAAAGAGGGACTGGGGTGCAGGTGGTGGGGGTCAGCTGGTGGTAGAGATGAGCTCTGAACTCAATCAGGAGCAAACACCCTTTTCTAAGAAGAGAAAAGCCCGCAAAGCTCACCTCTCTGGCTCGGGGGTACCCTGAGTGGGGGCAGGCTCCATCCCCCAGGACACTGGCTCTCCTCAGGGATCTCTGATGAGCATTCTCCACACTGTGCACCCCAGTCCACTGGCTGTAAGCCACACGGAGTTGGCTCAGACCAGCTGAGCGACGGAGCTACCCCCACCCACCCACACACCAGCCCCCAGCTGCCTTTGGAAATGCCACAGATTACTGTCACCTGCTAAGAGTTGTGAAGGAAGACCAGGCCTTGCCGCTGGGGAGAGAGAAGGGCCAGTAGATAGCCCTACACCCTCAAGCTGACAGCACAGCATACATTCCTGGTTGGGGAAAGGGCCGGACTCCACACCCTGCAGTTGCAGGCATACACACCCCAGCCCACTAACCCCCAACAGCTGGAACAGGGAGAGCCACTACTAGTACTTACCGGGAGGTCTGTGAAGGCTATACCTGCAGGGGGAAAGGGACAGTTGTCAGGACAAGAAGCAGGGTGGCCACTTGGCTCCTAACCCTCTGCAGCTCCTACCACCTCTGCTGGGGGTAGTAGCCAAACCTGTCTCAGGGCCTGTCAGCTTCCATTTGCTGGGTGGCTCGGCCAGTAATGAAGTCAGGTGCTGAAGTCTTATCCATAGCTCTTCTACTAGCTCTGGGAAAGCCTGCTAAGTAGTAAACCCAAATGATGCGCCCTGAGGTCCCTTCAGACCTGACTCTTCCCTCGGCCTACCACCATGCCAGGCCCCTTTCCATTCCTAGCTCATCTGATTCTCGTACCTACTCTGAGAACAGACCTTTTCTGTCATCGTTTTAGATGAGGAAAGGAAGCCTCAGAGGCTCAATGGTTTGCAAACAGTCATAAGCAGGCAAAATGGGAAGGGGAAGTGGGGGAGACTAACTCACTCCTGGTCTGATGCTCCTACATCATCTTTGACAGAGAAGTGGAGAGAGTGTGGTGGCTACCTGTCTGCCTGAGGTCACTCCTGAGCCCCATATGCAGGGTCAGTAGTCACTGAGCTGACAGGACTACACCCCTGAGAAGACTCAATGTCTCCCTCCAGTTCTGGATGGGAGCAGTCCTCATGGACCTCAGCATGGCCAGGTTGTTGCTATGTTCCTGGGCACAGGGAGGAGGCCCACAGAACCCTGGAAGGCAGGGAGGGCACGCTCCATCAGTTACCTGTAATGTGACCTTGGGCAAATTACCCAGTCTCTCTGGGGCTCAGAGTCCTCATCTCCAAGAGAGGGTAACATGAATCTCTAAACCTCAAGGAAGAAAGGAGAATATGAAAGACTGTCAACTCTGATTCATAAGCATGAAATACAGATACAAGCTGGCTGAGGCCACTACCATACTTCTGGGGATGGATGACCAACCTGGGCTTGCCTAGCAGTGTCACCACAGCACCTAGGAAGGACAAGACCTTGAGGTGCTTCCAGGAGGATGAAGAAAGAGGCTACTCCATCCTCTGTTGCCCCAGACAAGGGTAGAGTGCTCTCTGTGAGCAAGGCCACTGTGACTGCACGACCTGGGCTGACTCACAGGAGGAAGGTCCAGGCAAAGAGCCAGGAAGCAAACAGGACACCCAAACTTGTTGACAAGTATCCTGGGCTAGAGGCATAGGTCAGGGGTTACTGAGGCTGACAGTATAAACAGCCTGTGAGGGAGCACAGAGCTGTGTGACAATGACCCTGCAAATGCATGGGCACTGTGGAGAGGCTGTCAGCCTCCCATCATCATTCATTCATCCTTCCATTAAGGAGCTGCTGAGCCTCCCACAGCCAGGCCCTGTGGCAGGTACTAAAGAAGCAACTGCACGTTGCTTCTGATTCTAGCCAAAGAGATGGCATCTGATTAGTAATTATACAGACAACTGACTGATGACACACAGGGCAAGCGCTGTGATATAGGAATGATGGAGGGAACGAAAGGGCAGTAGGGCCAAAGGCATTTCCTTCTGCTTCTCGAAAGGGGCTCACTGATGCCAAGGGAGACTCTAAAGCACACTATGCCCAGATGGCTGGTGAAGAGGCAATACCGTCATTAGAAGAGGCACCAAGTTGCCTGTTACCCCAGCTTCATCACCTTTTTTACAGAACCATTACATTTCATAATTTAGAAAATGTGGGGGGACAGGTCATAGCCATTTTTCAGTCAAGTCTCAATAATATCCTTGTAGGGAGAAATGGAAAAACATTAATTCAAGCCAACATAATTGAGTAATTTTTAAATGGCTGGTGTCTATCTGCAGGCTGAAAGGCTCAAATCTCAGCCCCGACCAATTGCAGTATTTTTATCAATGTCTTGATGAAAACACACACACACAAGCATGTTCATCAAAATTCAGGTTAACAAAATGCTGAAACGGATGTCAAACATTTTAGATAAAACAAGCAAGACCACAGATGAACATGACACATTGGGAAAATAGTCAATTTGCTACTAAGTGAAGCCTAACTACAAGATGGGTGAGGTCTTGTGAAGAGTCTAAAAAGGAAGGAACTGGGGAGATAAGTTTTTTGAAAAGCCTGAGGATTTGGACTGACATCAAAGGGACCAGGAGCTCCCCGTGGGACTTGGGGACCTAACAGCTAATGGCCCTGTGGTGGTCCTAGTGGACATCAGAGCCCAAAGAAGGGAGCTGCAAGTGCAGAGGGGCCAGCAGGTATGCCTCAAACCCTGTGTCCCATGGCAGGTGCAAGGTTCTGAGCAAGATGTAGACAAGATGAAAGGATGTGAAGATGTTATGTACCCAGAGCAAAGGGGCGGGAGAAGGGATAAAGGGTACGTGCCCACGGTGGTGGCCCCTGGGACTCTAACAGGAGAAGGCCCAAGAACCAGCAAAGACTTGAACTCAAAGAACAGATGGGGAGTGAAGAGCCACCTTGAGACCTCGGCCCTACCCTTCAGCTGCTAGCTCCTCATCAACTGGACACCAACAACTGTAGCTGGGAGGCCATTCATTTCAGAGGTGCGCATTCAGACATGCACTCAGGTAAGCCTGAAGCACTATGCTCTCAGCTGCCTGGTTCTCCATGCTTACCTGCCTGCTCTGAGCTGAGACATTCAACTACGCTGCTGAGGGTTACTGGCTAATGGTCACTCAGCCTTGAGGCCCTTGTAGCCCCAGCCACCAGTTAACCTGATTCCCACTAAGGTCCTCTAATTCTGGCTGGGCTCATCTCCTAGAAAAGCCACCTTCTGACAGCCCCTTAAGTCAGGGGAAATGGGCCTCCTAGGAGTTGGGTTCCAGGTAAAATGTCCAAGTCCCTTTCCTTATTAAGAGCCTGTGGCCAACCTGGCTGGTTGGACTCTGCTAGTCCTCACTACACCATTCTGGAAGAACTTTAGGGAGCTCTGCAAGCCCAGCCAGGCATAGGTCCAGCCATCAGGCCCACCTTGTGGCCAGTTTCGTCAAGGGTGGCTCTCACTCAAGAGGTCAACAGGAGTCATCACCTTGTGGGGCAAAGCATCAGAATAGCCAGAATCTCTCTCAAGTTCTAATCCTCAATTTCCACATTGGACAGGCTTGCTCCTTCAAGGAATTCTACAGGCCGCTCAACATTCTCCACTGAACTCCTGGGTTCCTTGTCATGGTTAACAGCACTACTAACCCAGCTGCTCTCCCTCACTCCTTTTTTAAAAAAATATTATTTTATTGCATTTTCAGTGAAAGTTTACACAACAGATCAGGTTCCCATTTAACTATTTCTACACAAATTATTCAGTGACATTGGTTGTATTTTTTACAATGTGTCAACATTCTATTCAAGCCCTTTTGGTTGTTCTGTTTTCAATAACCTGCTTTCCCTACCTCCTCACTGTCTCATCTTTACTTCAGAGTAATTGTTGATCATTTGGTCTAATACAGGTGATCTTTTAACACACCATTCATGGATTATATTCTTTACTTTCTGAGCCAATCTGTTACTTTGCGAAAAGGTGACCTCAGGGGCTAGTTTTGGTTCAAGTCTTGATAGTCTCCAGGACTATCATTCTCTCCTGCTAGTGTACCTTGTCTGTCACTAAGCCCTGCTGGGTCATCCCTGGGCATCTCTGTCAGGCCTGTTCCCTGCTTCTCACCCCCACCACGACCACGTTACCTCAGGCCACCTTCTTCTTCCCTGGGCCCTTGCCTGGTTTCACCAAGGAGAACCTTTACAGTAGCTGCCTAGGTCACTTCCCACTGACCATGGACAGGCCAGAGGAGACCTGGCTCCACCTCTCTGTCCACCTCCTATCCGATGCAGCCCTCAGTAGTGTTCTGTAGCAACCAACATCCTGTCGGAAGGGCTGGCCAACATTTGGGTCACAGGCATGCAAACCACCCCATTCTCAACCATGTACTTGGGACTCTCAAACTTCCCATCCAACCCCAAACCCTACTCTAGCAAGTACCATAAAGACCAGGATCATGACCAGGGCACTGCTGCATCAGCACCAACCCTGGGCTCTATAAATGCTGCTGAAAGGATACATTAAACAAAACGCATGTCCCTGTTACTCTCCTCACAGTGCTTGGAAATGGCCAGAGTTCCCCCAAGGCTCAGGAAGGCCCTATAGCACTTCTTTGGCCTCAAGACCTGTCCTTGGGCCTTTTACCAACCAAAGGTGCTCCACAGAATAGACCTCTAAGGTCCCCCCATGCACCCACCAAGGCTGTGGCCGTTCTTGGTGTAGAAGCAGGTGCCGTTGATAAGATTGACACAGCAGCCAATCACATCGCCTGTGGTGAATGTGGGACCGTATGGCTGGCCAGTTCCCGAGGAACAGAAGGAATGCCCGTCATCGCCATGGTAACCATAGGAATGTTTGTCCCAACCTGTGGAGAGAGAGTAGTAAGAGGTGAGTAGAGGGACTAGAGAGAGGAGCAGGACTGTCGCAGAAGACCACCAGGTCTCAGCCTCTCTCCTCACTCTGAGTACAGGGCTGCCTGCCACCATCTCAGCCAGCACTCTTGGCCTTGTACGGGGCCAGGTGTGGACAGGATCTAGCTGTGCTGGAGGAGGAGTGAGCCCAGCAGGTCACCACCCCCAGAAAGCTGAGGCAGCCCCACTGAGCAATGATCCCAAGCAATTATTAACAAGAAACAAAGCCATCTGTAACCTGGAAGGGAAAAGGGCTCATCAGAAGGCAGGATGACAAGTACGTGGTCAGGGTTAGCCTCATGAAAGAGATGGGCTTGAAGTGTACTATGGAGAGGTTTTAATTTTTTTTTTTTTTAATTGAAGTATAATTTACATACCAAAAAATGCTCCCTGTATAGGTCAATGAGTTTTGACAAATGTATGTGTGTCGTGTTACTACCACCACAATCAAGATATAGAACATTTCCATCACTCCCCCAAAAAACTTCCCTCAAGCCTTTTTGTAGGTAATCCCCCTCCACCCCCCATCCCTTGGCCACACTGATCTATCTCTAGTTCTACCTTTTCCAGAATGTCATATAAATAGA